AGCCATGGCACTGTTGGCATGGCCATGGCGTGCCAGTGACACCATGGACACCATGGCCATGGCTCTGTTGGCGTGGCCATGGTACCATTGACACAGACATGGCACCGTTTGCATGGTCATGGCACTGTTGGCATGGCCATGGCATAATTGGCATGGTCGTGGCACCACTGGCACAGCCATGGCACTCTTGGCATGGCTGTGGTACCAATGGCATGGCCATGGCACCGTTGGGGTGACCATGGCACCGTTGGGGTGACCATGGCACCATCAGCATGACCATGGCACCGTTGGGGTGACCATGGCACCATCAGCATGACCATGGCACCGTTGGGGTGACCATGGCACCATCAGCATGACCATGGCACCGTTGGGGTGACCATGGCACCATCAGCATGACCATGGCACCGTTGGGGTGACCATGGCACCATCAGCATGACCATGGCACCGTTGGGGTGACCATGGCACCATCAGCATGACCATGGCACCGTTGGTGTGACCATGGCACCGTTGGCATGGTCATGGCACTGCTGGTGTGACCATGGCACCATCAGCATCACCATGGCACCGTTGGTGTGACCATGGCATCGTTGGCATGGTCTTGGCATCGTTGGTGTGACCATGGCACCATCAGCATGGTCATGGACCCACCACAACCAGGAGCTGGGGTGGGTGACAGGTTGGCACGGCCACCCACCCCATGCCATGCCACGTCCCATGGCCACCAGAGAACCAGCCAGGACCTTCCCGTGCCATGGTAGCCCTGGGGACACCCCGGGAAGGGGTGGGGGGACAGGGGAGGTCCTGCTGGCCACCCGGGTGGCACTGATGACCCGGTGGCCCGTGGCAGGGAGGATCGTGGCGCGGCTCCTGGAGGAGAGGGCACCGCTGCGGGTGCTGGAGCTGGGCACCTACTGCGGCTACGGCACCGTCCTGCTGGCCATGGGGCTACCACCCGGCGCCCGGCTCTACACCGTGGAGAGCGACCCACGGCACGCCGCCGTGGCAGAGAAGGTCATCCGCCTGGCCGGCTTCGACGAGCAGATGGTGAGTGCCCACCTGGAGGGCAGGGGTTGGACACCATGGGGTTCCTCTGGTGCCACCTCCCCAGGTCTCTGCAGTTGACCTGGTTGAACCCCATGAGGTTCCTCTGGTTCCACTTCTCTGGGTCCCTGCACTTGACCTGGTTGAACCTCACAAGGTTCATCTGGTGCCACCTCTCCATGACCCTGCAGTTGACCTGGTTGAACGTCACAAAGTTCACCTGGTGCCACCTCTCCATGACCCTGCACTTGACTTGGTTGAACCCCATGAGGTTCCTCTGGTGCCACCTCCCCAGGACCCCACACTTGACCCGACTGAACCCCATGAGGTTCCTCTGGTGCCACCTCTCCAGGTCTCTGCAGTTGACCTGGTTGAACCTCACAAGGTTCCTCTGGTGCCACCTCTCCAGGACCCCACACTTAACCTGGTTGAACCTCACAAGGTCCATCTGGTTCCACCTCTCCAGGTCTCTGCAGTCGACCTGGTTGAACCCCATGAGGTTCCTCTAGTGCTGCCCCTCAATGACCCTGCAGTTGACCTGGTTGAACCCCATAAGGTTCTTCTCATGACACCTCCCCAGGACCCCACACTTGACCTGGTTGAACCTCACAAGGTTCATCTGGTGCCACCTCTCTGGGTCCCCACACTTGACCCAGCTGAACCTCACAAGGTCCATCTGGTTCCACCTCTGCAGGTCTCCCTGCACTTGACCTGGTTGAACGCCATGAGGTTCCTCTGGTGCCACCTCTCCAGGTCTCTGCTGTTGACCTGGTTGAGCCCCATGAGATTCATCTGGTTCCATCTCTCTGGGTCCCCACACTTGACCCAGTTGAACCTCACAAGGTCCATCTGGTTCCACCTCTCCAGGACCCCACACTTGACCCGACTGAACCCCATGAGGTTCCTCTGGTGCCACCTCTCCAGGTCTCTGCAGTTGACCTGGTTGAACCTCACAAGGTTCCTCTGGTGCCACCTCTCCAGGACCCCACACTTAACCTGGTTGAACCTCACAAGGTCCATCTGGTTCCACCTCTCCAGGTCTCTGCAGTCGACCTGGTTGAACCCCATGAGGTTCCTCTAGTGCTGCCCCTCAATGACCCTGCAGTTGACCTGGTTGAACCCCATAAGGTTCTTCTCATGACACCTCCCCAGGACCCCACACTTGACCTGGTTGAACCTCACAAGGTTCATCTGGTGCCACCTCTCTGGGTCCCCACACTTGACCCAGCTGAACCTCACAAGGTCCATCTGGTTCCACCTCTGCAGGTCTCCCTGCACTTGACCTGGTTGAACGCCATGAGGTTCCTCTGGTGCCACCTCTCCAGGTCTCTGCTGTTGACCTGGTTGAGCCCCATGAGATTCATCTGGTTCCATCTCTCTGGGTCCCCACACTTGACCCAGTTGAACCTCACAAGGTCCATCTGGTTCCACCTCTCCAGGACCCCACACTTGACCCGACTGAACCCCATGAGGTTCCTCTGGTGCCACCTCTCCAGGTCTCTGCAGTTGACCTGGTTGAACCTCACAAGGTTCCTCTGGTGCCACCTCTCCAGGACCCCACACTTAACCTGGTTGAACTTCACAAGATTCATCTGGTGCCACCTCCCCAGGACCCCGCACTTGACCTGGTTGAACCTCACAAGGTTCCTCTGGTGTCACCTCTCCATGACCCTGCACTTGACCTGGTTGAACCCCATAAGGTTCCTCTCGTGCCACCTCCCCAGGACCCCACACTTGACCTGGTTGAACCTCACAAGGTCCATCTGGTGCCACCTCTCCAGGTCTCTGCTGTTGACCTGGTTGAGCCCCATGAGATTCATCTGGTGCCACCTCCCCATGACCCTGCACTTGACCTGGTTGAACCTCACAAGGTTCCTTTCGTGCCACCTCCCCAGGACCCCACACTTGACCTGGTTGAACCTCACAAGGTTCCACCTCTTCAGATCTCTGCAGTTGACCTGGTTGAACCCCATGAGGTTCCTCTGGTGCCACCTCCCCAAGACCCCACACTTGACCTGGTTGAACCCCATGATGTTCCTCAGGTGCCACCTCTCCAGATCCCTCCACCTGGTCTCCCTCATCCACATCACCCCCAAACTCAAGTCTACCCTCAATCCCACCCCCCACATCACCCATGAAGATGTCAAAACACCACCAGTCCCTCCCAGTAGAGCCCACCACCCATGAAGTTCTCCCGTTGGGTGGGCTGCAGGTGGAGCTGATCGTGGGCCCTTCGGAGGAGGTCATCCCCAAGCTGAGGGACAAACACGGCCTGGTCCAGGTTGACTTTGTCTTCATGGACCACTGGAAGGGGCGGTACCTGCGGGACCTGCAGCTCCTGGAGAGTCACCGGTTGCTGGCGCCGGGGGCCACGGTGGTGGCCGACAATGTCCTCTTCCCGGGGGCTCCCCGCTTCCTGCAGTACGTCAGGACCTGCCCCCGCTTCCGCTGCCGCCTCCACCGCGCCAGCCTGGAGTACTGCCCCGCCATCCCCGACGGCATCGCCGAGCTGCGCTACGCCGGGGACACCTAGAGCACCGGGAGGTCACCAGGAGCTCCACCAGGAGGCACCAGGAAGGTCACCAGAAGCTTTACCAGGAATTCACTGGGAGGCCCTTGCCAGGAATTCCTTGGGAAGTTCACTTGGACCTTCACTGGAAGGTCACCAGGAAGGTCACTGGGAGTCCCTCTCCAGGAATTCCCAGTGAAGTTCACCAGGAGCTTCACTGGGATTCACCAGGAGCTTCACTGGAAGGTCACCAGGAAGGTCACCAGGAAGGTCACCAGGAGCTCCTCTCCTGGAATTCCCTGAGAAGTTCACCAGGAGCTTCATGGGAAGGTCACCAGGAAGGTCACCAGGAGCCCCTCTCCAGGAATTCCCTGGGAAGGTCACCAGGAGCTTCACTGGGAACTCACTGGGAGCTCCTCACCAGGAATTCCCAGTCAAGTTCACCAGGAGCTTCACTGGAAATTCACCGGGAGCCTCAAAGGAAGGTCACCTGGAAGGTCACCAGGAAGGTCACCAGGAGCTCCTCTCCAGGAATCCCCTGGGAAGTTCACCAGGAGCTTCACCAGGAACCTCATGGGAAGGTCACCAGGAAGGTCAATAGGAGCTCCTCACCAGGAATTCCCAGTGAAGTTCACCGGGAGCTTCACTAGGGTTCACCAGGAGCCCCTCTCCAGGAATTCCCTGGGAAGTTCACCAGAAGCTTTACCAAGAATTCACCAGGAGCCCCTCCCAGGGAATCCCCTGGGAAGTTCACCAGGAGCTTCACCAGGAACCTCATGGGAAGGTCACCAGGAAGGTCACCAGGAGCCCCTGTCCAGGAACTCCCTGGGAAGTTCACCAGGAGCTTCACTAGGGTTCACCAGGAGCCTCACAGGAAGGTCACCAGGAGCCCCTTGCTGGGAATTTCCGGTGAAGTTCACCAGGAGCTTCATGGAAAGGTCACCAGGAGCCCTTCTCCTGGAATTCCCTGGGAAGTTCACCAGAAGCTGCACCAGGAATCACCAGGAGCTTCATGGGAAGGTCACCAGGAAGGTCACCAGGAGCCCCTCTCCTGGAATTCCCAGTGAAGTTCACCAGAAGCTTTACTGGGAATTCCCTGGGAATTCACTGGGAGGGGCTCCCAGTGAATTCCCAGTGAAGTTCACCAGGATTCACCAGAAACCTCACGGGAAGGTCACCGGGAGTTCCTTGTCAGGAATTCCCTGGGAAGTTCACCAGGAAGGTCACCGGGAGCCCTTCTCTGGGAATTCTCTGGGAAGTTCACCGGGAGCTTCACTGGGAGTTCACTGGGAGCCCCTCGCCAGGAATTCCTTGGGAAGTTCACCAGGAGCCTCACAGGAAAGTCACCAGGAAGGTCACTGGGAGCCCCTCACCAGGAATTCCTTGGGAAGTTCACCAGAAGCTTTACTGGGAATTCACCAGGAGCTTCATGGGAAGGTCACCAGGAGCTCCTCTCCTGGAATTCCCTAGAAAGTTCACCAGGAGCTTCACTGGGAATTCACCAGGAGCCCCCCTCCAGGAATTCCCTGGGAAGTTCACCAGGACCTTCACTGGAAGGTCACCAGGAAGGTCACCAGGAGCCCCTCTCCTGGAATTCCCAGCGAAGTTCACCAGAAGCTTCACCAGGAACCTCATGGGAAGGTCACCAGGAAGGTCACCAGGAGCTCCTCACCAGGAATTCCCTGGGAAGTTCACCGGGAGCTTCACCAGGATTCACCAGGAGCCTCAAGGGAAGGTCACCAGAAGCTTTACTGGGAATTCACTGGGAGCCCCTCCCAGGGAATTCCTGGTGAAGGTCACCAGGAGCTTCATGGAAAGGTCACCAGGAGCCCTTCTCCTGGAATTCCCTGGGAAGTTCACCGGGAGCTTCACCAATTCACTGGGAGCTTCATGGGAAGGTCACCAGGAAGGTCACCAGGAGCTCCTCTCCTGGAATCCCCTGGGAAGTTCACCAGGAGCTTCACCAGGAGCCTCATGGGAAGGTCACCAGGAAGGTCAATAGGAGCTCCTCACCAGGAATTCCCAGTGAAGTTCACCGGGAGCCTCAAGGGAAGGTCACCAGAAGCTTTACTGGGAATTCCCTAGGAGCCCCTCCCAGGGAATTCCTGGCAAAATTCACCAGAAGCTTCACCAGGAGCTTCATGGAAAGGTCACC